TCTAGCTGTGCCAAAGAAGAAATGTAAATATTTTGTAGCAAGAGGTATTAATTTTTAGCATTAATAAAGTTTGAACCGCTGAAAACTGAATTGGTTCTTTCTTATGCTTTGCCCCATATACCAAAATATTTTGATCTTTGGATGTAACCACCAAATGCTGCAAATTCCCTGCAGCTCAGATCATACCCTGCCTATTCACTTGAGGAGAGTTGGGGGAAAAATGTGTGACCTGCAGAGGTTTACAGGCTGGGTCCAGCCAGGTTCAATCTGTCTAAATTCCCTGGGGTAATTTCCACATCTTTTTCTAAAATTCCTGGGGTTTCAGGACAGGGAAAGACCTTTCCCATTTATTTGGGCAGCCACACAGGTGAGTTACCAACATCTCCCTTCTGTTTCCCAGCTCAGCATCTCCCCTGTCAACAACACATCCCCTCCCGGGCCAGCCCGGGCTCTGCCTGGACCGATGGCAAGGTGGGGCTGGTAGGGAGAGCATCAGAGATGGGCAGCAAAGATCCAGGCCAGCATGGGAGAAAGGCTGCTACACCTCCACCCTGGGCTGCATTTCAAAGGCATCACTGACACAAGGGAACAAAGCACAATATTATTTTTTTAATCTCTTTTCCTAAGCCAGCAGTGAATAGAGAAGGCTGCGGAGCTCAAAGCACTGAGGCTGATGGGCAGTGTCTCAGCAAAGGGCCAAAACTATCTTAACTTCAAGCTTAAGCTCCCATTAGGCAAAGAAAATACAGCCCAAATTATGCTTATGTAGCACCTCTCATGCAGACATCCCCCAACGCTCCAGGATCAAACTCAAACACAATCAATCATGGAGATGTGAGCAGTGCTCACCAAGGGAAACAGAGAGCAGGGGAGCGGGGCAGGAATGAGCACCTGGCTGCCAGGGAAGGGCTGGGGGCTGGCAGGAGGGGTGAGCAGGGGCTGCCAGGCTGTGGGAATTGCTGGGAGGGAGGAGGATGAGCTGAGAGGACAGAAATCTCCCAGATCCAAAGGGGTTGTTACCACTGGGGTGGCTCATCCCCACCGAGTGCGTGGCCAGAGGCTGATGGCTCTGCCGGCCCCAGCAGGCTGGATGCTCGGATGGGTACCCAGCATCTGCTCCTGGTGCCCCTGGAGCACGCCTTCCCTCTGGGTATAATGGGCTGTGAGAACCCACCTTACCCAAATGTGGGGTAAGAAGAAGAACCATTGCTTGAGACTGGTAAAAAAAAAAAAAAAAAGGTATAATTTTTAATTTTCTCTCTTTCTCCTCACAGCATCCCTCCTTGGCCACAACACAGAGCAGTGAACCCAGAAATCTCATAAAATAAAATTATTCCCATTTAGCACAGTCAAGAGGTTTAGTTTGACTGTTTGAGCTGAGATTTCAGTTCAAATGTCTTGGTCCTGTTCCACAGCAAATCTTCCAACCTTTGCAAATTTGTTTTTAAGTGTCAGGACACTCAAGATGCTGAACATCCTGCAGAACTGAAGAATTTAACTCCAATAACTCATCCTGTGATGGCTTTAAGGCATAATCAGCTTTTCAGTAACAATCTTGCCACTTTCTGGCCTGTAATATTTTTAAGTGACAGCAGGAAGAACTTGTGAGCAGGGGTTTTGTGACATGGAGGAGTGAGGCTGTGACACCACTGCAGCATCATTTTCTCAGCACTGAGGCGACAACAGATCACAAACGCAGCACCTGAGCAAAATGCCACTGTCTTGCAAGGTCTGAATTTTGCCACAGCTAAATTTAAGCCTGCAAATTAGGTGAACAGTTGCCTGGGCTCCTGGAAAGGGCTGCTAAGGTTGTCTTTCCACTGATTATGTTTAAACTGGGGTGTCCGCTTCAATGTGAGGAGCCTCAGTTCTGCAGAAAGTATCCATACCATAGCCTCACATCAATGAGACAGACTTCTTGGCACTCAAAATTATTAGCAGATGATTAACAGAATCATCAAAACAAGACAAAATTTCTAAGCAATTTAATTATTTAAAATAATTATTTAGAATAGTTATTTTAAAAGAAGATTTAAAAATATATTATAAACTATTATATTTAAAATATATAAATATAAATATTTATATTTTAAAATATTATATAAAATTATTTAAAATCATTAACAACTCCTACTTGTTAAATATTTTCCCTCAGCCTGCTGCAGGTCAGGAGTGAAGATGCTTTTTCCAGCTCTGTTGGATCCTATTTCTAATCTCTGCTCAGGGAGCTGGGATCGCCCCATTACCTGTCCAAATAGATGTCCTAAGTTTTGTGTGACTGGGCATGAAAGGACAAGGCTTACCAACCACTCTTCAGCTCTGGAAGTTGTTCTACAGTTCCTGATGAATCTATCCTTGCATATTTTAGAGGCAAAATGGGATTTCTCAAAGAGAAGCAATTTGTTGGAGGCCTTGGTTCAAACTAAACCAGAAAAAGAAATTACTCCCAAACCAGCTTTTCAAATCAAATAGTCTGAAAATTTCAGATTCAACCAGGCAGGGATTTTGTGAGGTTAAGAAAGAAGTTTAAAAAGCCAGATCTGCTGTACCTGACAAATTATCTCAGTTTAGTGTGATTTATACCTGTCACACCTTGACCAAGTATCCGTGAGAGCTTTTTAGGAGCCTTCTGCAATTCCCTTAGAACAAACCTTAGTTTTTGTTTTGTTTGTGAATGAAAGCTTTATATGCTCTTTTCAAAGACCTAAATTCCGCTTCTCTGCTTCTTTACAGAGGTACAGCAGAAGGCCTTGGCTTGGTGCTCATGGCAGCAAATACATGGCCTGAAAGCAGAGCTTTTCTCCAAATCCGCAGAACACCTGGCCCCAGTGAGCTTTGCTCGCTGCACTTGTGAGAATCCGTGCTTTACAGAGATAATCCTCAGACATTTCAAGCTGGGCTGAGGACAGACACCATTTCCAGCCCATGCCATCAGCTGCGTTCCTCGGGAGCAGGTACCAGGCTCGCGCAGCCCCGCTCCACGAGCAGCCAGCCCAGAGCTCCCACCTCCAGCACCCCGTGTGAACACCCTGCAGCTCGCAGCCCCCCACCCCGGGGGCTTTCAAAGGCACAGGGGATTTAGGCAGACAATGAGGAGCTCGGGGAAACCTGCTGCCAGCCCCACTTGTCCTCACTCGTTTGAGTGAGCGCAGCTGCCTGTCGTTTCTAATTCGGGGCGCAGGGCTGGGGCTGGGAGAGCTAGACGTGGCCGTGGGAGTCTTATTAAAAACAACAGCTAATAAATTGCCAAATGCCATTTACCCTGCATAACCTCCTTAGCCCAAGCCCTCCGTATCTGCTGGGGCTGCTTTGATGTGCCGTTCTGCTCTCTCAGCCCAGATGTTGTCACAGATTTGCTGACAATGACGGTGAAACAGCTTTGAAATACTCTGGCAAGAAATACTTTCCCATCCTGTCTCAGATGGGATCTGCTTCTCCCCCCCACCACCGCTCTCACATTTTTCTTACTGAGGCCATTGGGATGAATAAAGGCTCTTTGTTCATTAAGCCATTTCTTTTCTTGCTGATGGTTTTTTTTTCTATTTTAAAAACTAAGCTGAAATGACAGCAGCAGCTGTTCAATAGATGAAATAGGTCTCAAATACCACAGCAATGGCCAGTGTTTGTACACCACTTTGAGCCATAAATATGGAGAGTGAAAAGGCATGGGAGCCTTAACAGCTCCAAAAATACTTTCTCCCTCCCTCCTAAGCCCTAGGAAAAATTAAAATAATTCTACTGATTGAGAAAATTCTCAGATTTTCTCATGAATATCATGGTAAGGCCCTCTTTTCAGATGTTCTGGTAACCTAGTTAAAAGTAGTGCTTGATCTTTTATAGGGCAAAAGAAAACAGCCACAAGTTGTACCAGAGGAGGTTTAGATTGGAGATTAGGAAAAATTATTTCACCAAAAGTCTTAGAAGCACTAGCAGAGGGTGCCCAAGAAAGTGGAGGGGTCACAGTTCCTGGAGGGATTTAAAAGACATGCAGATGTGGCACTTGGGACATGGTTTTGTGGATGGGTCTGTGGGGAAGGGTCTGTGTGGATCCCTGTGGATGGGTCTGCATGGATGGATCCACGTGGATGGCTTTGTGTGTGTGGATCCACGTGGATAGATCTGTAAGGATGGGCATGTGGGGATGGACCTGTGGGCATGGATCCTTGTAGGTGGATCTGTGTGGTTCCATGTGCAACCATGCAGATGGATCCTTGTTAACGGCCCTCTGCAGATGGATCCGTGTGGATCTGTGTGGATGGGTCTGTGTGGATCTGTGTGGATAGATCCATGCAGAAGGATCCCCGTGGATGGCTCCATGCAGATGGATGTATGTGGATAGATCCCTGGGGATGGATCTGTGGGGATGGCTCCCTGTGAATAGATCCCTGTGGTCAGATCCCTTTCCTTGGATGGCTCCCTGTGGATGGTTCCCTGTGAGCGGATCCCTTTGGATGGATCCCTGTGAGAGATCCCTGTGGATGGCTCCCTGTGGATGG